CCTCTTAACTCTCTATTTATCTATTTTCCTATCCATTCTATCCATTTCTGTTCCATTCTGTTTATTCCTTATGTTTCCAGTTTTTTTTCATAAAAACAAAACTGGACTTTTATTTCTCTACTTTCTACCCTGTTCTATTTCCTACTCTAACTCTTCCACCCTACTATCTACAGAGGCTTCTGCTACCATAGCTAAGAAGTTGATACCCTACCTTAGAGCTATAATCTTTACATCAAACTTGTTCTTCATTGTCATCAGCTACAACTCTAGGTTGTTCAGCTCCTTAGTCATCTGTGAGTAGAGGTTGTAGACTGTTCCAGCTTTACTATGTGTGATTAGAGGGATGACAGAACACAGGTTCTGAGTTGTACTGTGTAATTCTGTAGTTTGCCCCCTAGTCTTACACCAGATTCCCTTCAGGCTACATCCAGAGTGGTAGAATATGTATACTGTGTACTGGTTTTCTATGTGAATAATCACTATTAACACAGTCAAAAATAAGATTGAAACAGACTTACTCAGATTACTATAGTATGGTCAATCTATTACAGTCTAGCAAGTGGATCCCTGAGGACCCTTGTGCCTCTCTGTACACTTTACACACTCAGGTGTGTAGAAGACCATTCCCTCTGCCCAATCCAGAGGGATATCCTTGTCCTCCTTGCTTGAAGACTCTACTACAACCTTCTGGTTTTTTGTATACATTTCCTTACTAAAGATTAGAATCTCTACCTCTACAATAGTGTACTTCTTGCTCAGGAGTACTAGTACTAGCTCTAGACAACAAAATGGAGTCAGTATACTCAGAAAATCAACTACCCCTCATCCACATTACCTTTTTCCTTACTTTTGTCCTCTTTCTTCTTTTCTAGCTTTGTAACTACTTAAGGAACTAGGAGAAACATTGTGTTAGCTTAGCACAATTTGTTAGCCATACTTGTACTTACTGACTATGACTTGTTTCTCCTTCCTATCCCTTCTTGTGTTGACCTTCTCTTTCTCTACAACTGGCTTTTTCTTTTCCAGTTTTGTAACTTCTTTAGAAACTAGGTAAAGACAACATTAGTAGTACACAATTTGTTAGCCATACATTTAATTTGTACCTAGCTTGTTCCCCTTTTCTACTACCACCTTTAACCTTTCTGTGTTTGTGACAACATCAGAACCTGTGTAAACAGTTAGTTTATTACACACAATTTGTTAGCTATACTTACATACATACTTTTGGACCTCTCCTTTTCCTTCCTATCCTTCTGCTTTGTTGCTAACTGTGCTAAGGCTGTAGCCTTCTCCTTCTCCTTCTCCTTCTCCTTCTCCTTCTCCTTCTCCTTCTCCTTCTCCTTCTCCTTTCCTCTCTCCTTCTCCTTCTTTGCCTTAGCCCAAGCCTCTTCCTTAACCTTAGCCTGTGTTACTTTCTCAGCCTCTACCTTCACTTTAGCCCTAGTAGTAGCTTCATCCTCCTTTACTTTTGTAAGCTCCTCTACTGTTGCCTTACAATCTACAAGATGTTCTGTATTAGTAGACAGATTAGAAATCAGGAAATAGGAGACTTACTACCAGATTGACCCTCTACTAACACAGACAAAACCTCCTTACCCTTCAAATTGTTGTCATTGTGAGCATTATTGTCTGAGCTCTCTTTGTCTTCAGACTTGGGATCTGTAGTCAATCCATTAGTTTCCTCCTTTGTAACCTTGTCCTCTAGTTTGTTTTCTGTGTCAGAACCTGTAGAGCACATTAGCATATGAGCTAGAGACAATGTGCTTCACAGAGGTACTCACTGAGCATATGTTTGACTAGCTTGTCATCCACATCCATTCCCTTACTAGCTACTACATTGTTGTGTGTACAATTTCCAAGGAAAATCACAAAATCAGTATAAAAAGAGTGGAAAAGAGTGTAACACTTACTGTTGGATTTGCTAGGGAGTAGTAATGACATGGTGAGAGTGATGGAAGGAAGCAGGAAGAATAAGTAACAATGTTTACACACACACAGAACTTACATTCAGCCTACCAATCATTAAATCAACCATGTGACTGTAGACAGTCACAAGCAGATGTGCTGGGAGATGAAACAATTGGCATCATACTAAGAACTGTACATCACATACAGACAATCACAGTAATCAATTCCAAACACCTACATGACTCATAGAAGCCTACTCTGAGAACACCCAACTATTCTACATTACAAGCATTTGTAAACAGAACTGCAAGAGTGTACAGTCTCAGAATTGGCTTACACACATTGTTTTCTCTACAGGATGTACAGATCATATACTTATCACAGGCTCAGAACACAAGTTGTGTCACAGTGAGTGGCTCAGTAAACCATTACATCATTATTGCCCAGATCAAAGTACTACAATCTTCCAATCAGATAGGACATTGGGGCAATCAAAGTGTTAATCTCAGGAGACTGCTGGAAATCTCAGAACTCTCCACACTTTGTCTGTACCAATCAGATGATAACAGTATGAGAACCTTCTACTTCTTTCAATGTAAATCTTGCTTTTCCCTTTTGCATAACATTTCCTGTAGCTAGAATACAGACTACTTAAAATTTTCCTTATACATTTTCACCCTATTTTCTTCCAACCTCTGGCAAAAGGTTCTCTTATTTGTTCTTGTATATTTTGTTATTTTTCTTTTGTTCAGTCATAGCATTTCCCTGTTAGTACTACACTTTTCCAGAACTTGGAAAACTATAAATACAGCTACTCATGTACTAGATACAGGGGGAATTCAGATAGTTCACCCATCAATTTAGCTCTTGTCTCTTGTCTCAAAGTCCTCTAGTGTGAGGCATAGTTTTAGTCTTTGTTGTTTTCTGTATCAGATTGTTTGTTGTGCACTTTGCAAAGTGTACTTTCTGTTATTCACATTACTCTTCCAAGGTTGCAACTGTACTGGAAGAACTCATACCTGTTCAGAACCACTCTAGTCTCCTAAGACTTGTGGTTTAGCTCCCCCTTGAACTTAATGAATCACCTGTGATCTTCTCTTAGACACTACACAGGAGTTTCAATATTACACAAGTATCTACATATTCTTTTATCCAGTTAGTTATTCCTGACCAATAATATGTTCTCTTTACTAATTCCAAAGTTTTTCTGAGTCCTGGATGTCTAGCTATAACACTATTATAATATTGTTAAACAATTCTGACTTTTTCTTCCTGTTTACCTTTCCTTAGTAACAGTATTTTATTACTATAATTAGTTCCTAAGTCTGTTTCTATAGTTTCTTCTACTGTCATTGTTTTAATATGTACTTCTGACTCTTTGAACATTTCCTGAGGGAGTAATACAACTTCCTGACTATCCTTTTCTTCCAGCTCATAGTCAGGTCTTCTAGAGAGTGTATCTGCTCTATTTTTCTTGCCTGCTCTGTATTCTATTTTGAAGTTGTATCTGCTTAGTTCTAGTGCCCATCTTACTTGTCTTCTGTTTAATTGCTTCTTGTTTTGAAAGGTCTTCAAATTAGATTAGTCAGTTATTATTCTAATTTGATGCTTGGCTCCTTCCAAATAATGTCTCCAGTTTGTTAATGCTTTTATAATAGTATATAATTCCTTATCTGGTGCTGCATAATTTCTTTCCTGTTTACTAAAAGTTGAAGAATAATAAGCTATAGGATGTAATTCTTTATCTTCCTGTTCCTGTAATAGTATTACTGAGTATACAAAATCTGATGTATCAGTTTCTACTACAAACTGCTTTTCATGGTTTGGCCTTACTAATACTGGTACTTTAGCAAATGCTTCTTTTATAGCTTTAAAAGAGGCTTCTTGAGTGTCTCCCT